TACAGGGAAGAGGAATTGGCAGCCTTGGAAAAAGGCTCCTTAATTTCCGAACTAATGTTACAGCAATTCCTAAGGGGATTACGCACTAAAATTTCCTCTAGGATTTTGAAGAAACCAAAAACCTTTGAGGATGCAGTTTTAGAGGCAGAAGCTGTAGAAGAGATGCTGGAAACAACTAAGAAAGTCCAGCATTGCGCCATCAATTACCTGCAGAAACCAAGGACCAACAATCGTGTCCAAAACCGCACCTCCTCTAGGGATTTTAAGGATCCCAATAATGATACTTTCAATCCAGAGTGTTACAGATGTGGAGAAATGGGACATTACAGCTCAAATTGTCCTAACAACCAAAATCCACGAAGATCTTCCAACCCATCAAAATCCAAAGAATTCCTCCAGAAGACATTTGACTCTGCCACTAAGAAACGTTCTCAGCAATACCGAAGTCAGCCAAACCGAAAGGGATCACAAAATTCAGCAAACAACTCATCAAGAAACCCAGTTCGAAAATCCGGATTACAAAGGATGCCTCCCAAACCTCCTGGAATAAAAACATCCAAACCAAATCAACGAGGAAAAAATCCTCGACGCGTACTGGCCATGACAACTGGTGAGCCAGAAAATAATGATGATAATGAAGAAGAAGATGATGATTATAATTCCAATGAATCTTCCAATGATAATGATGATTCGAATGAGAGTAATGACGACTCTGACGAATATTATGAACCAAGTGAATCGGGAAACGATTATTAACCGGGTACGCTAAACCCCCGCGTCTCCCGGTTATTTTTCTCTCTTTATCAAAGTATGAACCCGCTATTAAATTCCTTATTGACACAGGATCTGAAGTATCTATATTAGACCCCGAATCCGTTAATTGTGAAAATATTGAACCGAGTAATGTTCTAATAACCACAATTGAAGGAAGAGCTATTCCAGTAGAAGGAGAAGTACAGCTTTCCTTATTTTCTGGTAAAGATAAAATTAGTAAGCTTGTCTTTCTAATGATTCAACAAAAATGTTTTGGAGATTTCCAAGGAATTCTAGGAAATGATTGGTTAACTGAGAATAAAGCTCGTATTTGCTATAAAAGTAATAGTCTAATTTTACCAAAGATAACTATTCCTTTCCAATCAGAAGTTGGTCCAGATGAACATTTTATAGAAGACCAAAATCCTTCCTTTAAACTATATCTGGCTTCCAAACAAAAAATTCCTAGTAATTCCATATCTTTATTGAAATTAAAATTGTCGGAAGAAAATACTAAAAGACTCAGGAATGCAACCTTATTAGTAAATTCTTTTCAAAATGAAAATATTCATATTGGACGATGTTTAACATCTGTTTCTGCTCAAGGAACGTTATTTGCTCCTTGCTTAAATTTAACGAATGAGGAAGTAATTTTAGATCCGTCGTATAATTTATCAAATGCAGAAATATTTCCAAATAATAATTACCTTCCTTTTAATGCAAAGATAAATGCTCATGTTAAAAAAGAAACTGAGTATCTCCATGGAAAGTCCTCCAAGGACGAAGAAACAGTTGAATCAATGATAGAAGCAGGAATAAAAAACTCAGAATGTCCAAGTAATC